ATCAGTAAGGCCCATTGGTGGGAAGTCAGCGCTCGCAACCCATGAACCTCCCCTCTGCAATAAATTAAGCAGACTCGTTCGACTCGAGCCCGGGCCCTAGTGTTTCAAATCTTCTCAGTTTTTTTTTTTACCGACATCCTCTTCAACTCCGAGTCTTCTACTCGCAAAGATTTCAGTTCATAGATACACAAGGGTAGTAGAAAGAATTTCACTGCGACAAATAGAGATCCATCATCATATTGGGTCTAGATTCATGACCGGCGCTGCGTTCCATTTCACTCAAGCTACCAGACATATTCGTGCATCCATCGTTGCTGCAACCCACGCACCGCTCCAATTTTGGACCATTGAGGTTCAAAAAATATTATTTCTTCTTCACCGCCTCCCGCAAACTCTCTCCTTGAGATGAAATGCCCTTCAATACATTGGAAGCATGACATGCATTTGATATGCGAGGAAGACACACTTTCTGGTCCCAATCGAGCCCCAGCCTAGCAAGTCGACCACCGCACCTGGAGATCCAACTTTTATTTAAATCTAAAGGTAAGCATAAAAGGCCTTGTGGCGAGCGGCCCGCAGTGCATCACATATAATGTATAACTATGTCTTCGCGATATCCTTGTTCGACTCGAGCCCGGGCCATGGGGAGTAATAAGGACGCTGTTTTTTCTACATAAGTTAGGCACCCGTATTTCTTGTCAAGCGAGCTGGACTCAATGTTTATGTACGAGATGCTCGTTCGAATGGAGTCTGGGCCCTAGCAAATGTTTACTTGCTTCATTTAATTTTCACAATGCCGGAGCGCACACCATCTGTGGAGAGAGTTTGAGATATAGAATCGGCGGCATCACACCAGATCGAGCGGCGGCGGCAGCGGCGGCACAATTGATGCACGTGTCACCTTCAATCACGTACATGTTGACACCGTGACTGGGGCAGACACGTCTTGCTCCTCCCTCCACCTCCTGGCGACACTACCGAGCGACGTTGGGCACGGCGGTGGCGAGTGGCGGTGGCTCGGGCGGCGCGTGAATGGCAGCGACGTGGTTGTGCGCGATTCAAGGGGCGTGGTGCGCGAGTAGGGAGCAGGGTGGTGAGCGGCGTAGCGACGGCAATGGCGAACAGGGACGGCAAGCAGGCGACGAGGGCGATGGCAGCAGGCAGTGTGCGAGGTGGGCGCAGCGCGGGATAAAGGCGAGGAGGGCGAGGGCGGCAGGCGGTGCGCGAGATAAACCTGGGTTGTCGAGCAGCTTGGAACTCGCACGGTGCGCATCGGATCTGCGCATTGCGTCGCGCGCCCGTACGCATCCGCGCGTACCTCCTTGCTTCCGCGCCAGCGCGCGACGCGGGGGCGGCCGATCGCGAGGCGTGGGCCCCTTTTCTTTACCGGCACTTACGCTGCCGGAGGCTCGGCGTACAGATAGATATGATTTGATCATTACCGGAAAGTTCCGCCGCCTGTGCCGCCGCCTGTGCCGCCGCCATTTGATGCCGCCGATTCCAATTCCCAAATGCTCTCCATCTGTGTCTCTTCCAAAGTGGAGATTACATTGCATTCAGCCCGATACAGGGAAGTCGCTCCTGCATGCATATCAATACGTGCACCCGAGTCTCACCGCAAATGGAGACACAACCTGGTGAGCACATTTCATTTACTTGACCTGCTAACCGAGTTTGTACCTGGAGGGAAAGGGCCTTCTTTGCGGATAATCAACCCGGTGCCTGCTAAGTGTAAGTGCTTTCGATTTGACGCCAAGTCCTTACTAGATTCGTAAGTGGAGAAAAGAGGTGCGGTGGCGGGAGGCCTACACGTACATTTCTTTATCGATCGAGCTGGTAAAATCTTATGTACGAGATGCTCGCTCGTTCGACTCGAGCCCAGACCATCTAAGAAGGGTGGTAAATTTTTTTGTATCCCGTACCGTTTCTGTTCTTCCTCTCCTGCGGCGCTCAGGACAAATATATCGATGCTAGTTGGTTGCACAATGAACAGAGATGGGACGTCAAATTAATCCCGCCTTTGCAAGTTGTATCCCAATCCCAATCCCGATACAACCCCAACCAGGAGCAGTGCGCGGCCCGGTGCTACGCCTTCGAAGCCAGTCGATTTTGACACCAGAAAGGTTCGGTGCATACGTCGGCGCCCAACCCAAATACAGGAAGTAAATGGGGCATGAGTCACGATACAGATTCAATCGACTCTATACGTGAAGCCTCCGCATTGAAAGTGAATGAATTTGGGGCCAACTCGCACCCACGGTGCGTCCACGTCCGCTCCACTCCACTCACCCCGCACGCACGCTCACAGAGACGCGACGAGACGAAGCTGACGCAGAGGCGCGTCCAAATAAATGTGCGTCTCGAGATCATGATTCGTCTGTGTACAGCCCACCGAATCCGCGCCTGCGACCACATGCCGTCATTCGCGTCTCGTCATCCATCCCCCCATCGCGCACATCGAGCGCGTGCGCAAATAAGGGCGCGGGCGCGGCGTCCTCCGGGAACAGCGCGCACGTCGTCCCCGAACTCCGCCCCGCCTGTAGGTACGCCGAGTACGCGCATACACGGGAGCGCTACACCGCGTCTTCGAACAGCGCCGCACGGACGGGTGTCAATCCAGGTATGCGTGCGGGTGCAAGATGCAAGGTGCCGTCTGTGAGTAGCTTGCACGGCCGCGAGTAGCTCGCACGATGCCCGTAAATTCCGCACACGCGCCCCGCTTGCACGAATGCCGCGTGGTCCGTGAATCTCGCACCGCCGAGGATACCTCGCGCGTACGCTGGCGCCGTACGCGCGGTACGTGTGCAGCACTCCGGTTCAGAGCGCACGGCGCGTGCAAGAGTAGAGCGGGTGCGAGCTGCGAAGTGTACCACGGACACACGGACGCGCCGCCCATCGCCCACCGACGCTTCATCGGAATAGTGCGCCTTTTCGCGGGGAGATACGTATACGGCACCGCCGACGCCTGCGCTGCGTCAGCCCGAGTCTAGGCTGGGGGGTAGGGCGCGCGCATAGCGCCCTCAAATCGAATGCGAGTCGAGTGGGTGGGGATTCGAAGGGCGGACGCGGCGTGCGGGCGGGAGAGCGAACGAGCGCGGAAGACAAGAGCGACGCATCGAACTATATGTGAGTCCAAGCCTGGGAGAGCTGCACGACAGGGTATTTGCGCTCGGACCGCGGAAGTGCGAGGGAGAAGCATGCCGTGGTACCTGTCAAATCAACGGCAAAGGAGAGAGCGGCGACAAGAGTGGATGCGGCGGGATCCGAGACAGAAAACACAGTCAGGGGTTGCGAGGTAGTAGGGTACTACTCGGCGGCGTCGAAGCAAGTGAGAATATTGATGAGAATCGGGCGCGAAGGTGAGTCAAGCCAGCTGCGGGATCGGCTGGATTTCGAATTTTAAGGCGGAAGGCTGTTACAGTTAGCTGGATCCTGGTGTTAGCGTCGAATTGGATCAACACGGGTTGGCTGGCGATCGAGACGTCGAACTCAGGAAGGGGGGGAGTCAATACTAGTCAGTGTCGCGATTGTGTGGCGTTCAAGTTGTTGCCAACGCCGACGCGACTCCGTCACCCTCTTCGCCGACGGCGAGGACAACGACGAAAACGACGACTAGCACGACGACGGGGACTCACATAGCAGTTTGGCTGGGACATGCTGAGTTTGGTTGGTGGAGAGAGGGTAAAAGGCCGGCAAGCCCCGAGATCGGTGATGATACGTCGGAGGCCGGAAGGGGCTGCGCACGGGCCCTCTGCACCGCTTTTCCGTCTGAATCTCACACCCACTTCTCACCGCCTTTCCCGCGTGAGGCGCCCACGGTCCCCCACGGCGCAGCGCCACCTCTACAGAGAATTCTGATTTGAAGGAACCCTCGACGATGGTATCCCACAATTACAATTGTAATTATGATGCAGCGCATGCACCGCCGTGCCTCTTACTCTTACTCTTACTTGACAGGATATTATTCCTACAGCATAACCTCACAGGATTGCGGCGGCGTCGCGATCGAGACCGTTCGATTCCCAATCGGTGCGGGTGAAAATTCTACGTTCTGTCTGTCAATGCTTACTTAGACATCTGTTCAAAATTGGACGTTCTTTCTTTACGCGTCGGCGTCGCTGGTGGACCACTCACCCCGGAAATTCTGGTATTTCTCGCCTCCCAAAAACCTTTCTGAAACTTTTAGTTTCAGACGCGCTCCTGATACGTTTAGTTTAAGGTGCCGGACCGGGCCGGGCCGACGGGTTTTGGGTGGCCTGAAACTGAAGGTATCAGGAACACGCCTGAAACTAAAGGTTTCAGATTTGTTTTTGGGAGGCCCAAAATGAGCCTTTTTACAGAGTGACTGAGGTTTCGAACGTCATTGAGACTGATCGATTCTGGATCCGTTACTCAGCTTACAGCGTCGCGGAACCTTGATCTAATCTTGAATCATTCCATCTGCGGAATCAATCCATCGATTGCGCATCTGGATTCTGGACACATTTACACGTCTATTCACTCCATGATCCATCCCGCATGCGGCCCGCCCGGATGGTAGAACGTTCGCGTCAACGTCTCAGAAACGTTCGCAGCCATAGGTGAGTCTGCATATGTAATAATCTCTCTGCGCGCAGATGACGAAGGTGAAGATTCGAATATTACACTGGCAGCAATAAAATCGAACAGAATTCGGAGGGCCTGATTCCTACAATTAACCTCACATTGGATATATGTGAATATGTATCCGAGGCCTGGTGGCGGATGGTCCGCACCTGCGACTAGTGAGGTATTTCGTCAGTTCAGCAGGGTACGCTCGTTCGATTCGAGCCCGGGCCACTTTTATAAGTCCCTTTGACATTTTTTGTTCTCGGTTTCTGTTTCCACTGACAAGTCGCTTGGAGCTGAGGAGACTATCATAGCAATAATTTTTTTCCTGCCAACTGAAGTCAAGTTCCTAAGTGCAAATTTCAAGGTATTTCAACTAACCTCACATTGGATGCAGATGTATATGTATCGGAGGCCCGGTGGCGGATGGTCCGCACCTGCAAACTGTATGTGGTAGTTTTTCACGTAAGCAGGATACGCTCGTTCGATTCGAGCCCGGGCCACTTATCAATGTATGCTTGTCATGTTTTTTTCTCCCTTTCTCCCTTTCTTCCTCTTTCTGTCTTACAGTAAACGGGAAACGATAGACATTTTCAATTTTTGAGCAAAATTCGGCCCGGGCAGTTGAACGCCTCATCACTCCACTTGCCGTCCACCTCCGTCCATCGTCTCGAATATTATCCCTGCCTGTTATGTCCCGGGGAAGTTAGTTTATATGCATCTCTGCAATGATTTTCATTCTCCGGGAGAACAAAAAAATGAACGGGGGATGACCAAGAAATTGCAGTGTGAGCCAAAATTGGTGGCACTTGCGAACTTTGCTTGAAAATTAAAAACATCTATAGTTTTCCGTTTAGCTGTAATTGTGCCAACTACATCCGTTCCGCTATGTCCCTACGTACCAAGTTCACGTAGATGCAGCTTGTTCCTCTCCCCAAGCCACGAAGACAAGGATGTGATGTACCATATTTTTTGCATTTGCGCGCAAACCGGATTCGAACCTCACTTCACTGGCTTTTTGTGAGCAAACCGACGCCAATGGGAGACTGATTTTAATTTCACAGACCTCACATGTATGAGGATTCCAGGGAGGTCCAGTGGGGAATGGCCCGCGCCTGCAAGCTGTCCAAAATTTCAACCAGCCTTTATAAGCAGGATATGCTTGTTCGATTCGAGCCCGGGCCCTAGTGTGCGATTGATAGTTTTTTATATAGTAAGCAGAGATCGTAAGTTACAGAAGTGGAAGTCATTCGATCCTGCATTTGTATCGTACTCATCTGGATAAGTACAACTGGAGGACTAATGCTCAGGTAACTATTTTCTCCAGTACTCTGAGTTTGGAGCAAGTTCAAGTTCACAACAGTGGCGGGGGATCCGCACTTGCATCCTATGAGTTGCAAAAATCCTGGTTATGCAAGAGATGATCGTTCGACTCGAGTCCGGCCATTAGGGCGAACGAATCGTAGTTTTTCTCCCCTGAGTCCCCTCCTTCCGAGGAGAGTTTGTTCGACCGTGACGGAGTCCTAACACTTATGCCTCGATGATCTATATAGGACTCAGAGACACTCGTTCGACGGGCCCGGTTCCTATCACATAGTTTCAACTCTCCCATTTTTCTCTTATATCAAAACTAACGACACTACTAAACCAAGTCCCAGCCCAGTGTCCCGCCTTTCGAGGAAGGCCCGGTGACGGGGGTCTGCACTGGCATCTCATGAAAAAGAAAAAGAAGTGATACGCTTACGCAGGAGACGCTCGTTCGACTCGAGCCTGGGCCATACACTCGGAGATGGATCTTTTTTCTCTCTGTGCGTGGAGAGCTTGTTCGACCCTGACGGAATCCTAGATATTTTATTTATGCCTCGATGATCTACGTAGAGACCCTCGTTCCAGATCCTATCACATGCTTTCAACTCTCCCATTTTTTCGTATATAAAATTCAACCACAGTACTAACCCGAGTCCTAGCCAAGTTCCCAACCCTTCGAGGAAGGCTCGGTGGCGGGGGGTCCGCATCTGCATCCTATCCGTATATTTTGAGGGAGTTAAACAGGAGATGCTCGTTCGACTCGAGCCTGGGCCATTTGGACAAGGAACTACATCTTTTTCGCCTCCTTCTGCAAAGAGCACCGAGTCCTTATTATACTATACTTATGCGCGCAGTGCAAGACATGCCACCATTTTTTCGTCCTCGCGCGCCATGGGTCACCGAGCCCCCCAGTTTGTGTGCATCAATTGGTGTGTGATCTACAGCAGTACGTTCATCCATTCTTTTAGAATCGGAATTAGCGTCGTACATTACATCCGACTTGTTGCACTAACTGTTCTTCTAATTCATTTTGCGCCGACGTCAACGCCAAATCGCACCCGCCCTCGGCCCGACGCTTCTGTTACATTACACCCTCCCCATCCTGTCCCTTCAACTCCTCCACCGACCCCTCCACCGACCCCGCCGTCCCCATTCTCCCCATCCTGCGTACTGAACCCACCCCGCACAGCCGCCGCCCAACGTGCAAACTGCCGCACAAACTGCAGCGCGAGCGCGGGTGCGTAGAGTAGCATATCATATATATACACAATGGGCAGATACACGCATTCGTCTCCGCGAGTATTCGTGCACCCGAGCGCGGAACGCTCAAAAACGTGCACATAATAATGTACGCAATGAAAAGCACGAAAACCCCAACAAAAACAAAACCAAAAGCAACGCACCTGAAACGATGCCAGCCGATCGCGAGGCCCAGAACGACGTGGAGGCAGTTCTGCAGGCGGCGGCCCCACCAAAACAAACCCACAAATAAACACAAAAACAAAAACGCACCTGGAACGACGCCAGCCATAATCGCGAGGCCCAGCACGGCGCGGGGGTAGTTCTGCGGGCGGCGGCTGCTGGGGAGCTTGAAAAGTGGATGAAAGCGCCAAGGGAGAGTTGCGCGAAGTAGAGGATTAGGAGGGCGGGGCCGGGGTTCTATTCGATGGATGGGTGAGATTAGCGTTGGAGATTGAAGGGAAGGATAAAGGGTGACGAGGGAGAAAGGAGAAACACACCTCTTGCAGGCCGCGGAAGTGCGGTGGGGGTTTGGTGCCCGAGCGCAAAAGCAAAGGCAGTGAAGACGGGCGGGCCGGTGACGAGGGCTGCGTACGGCCAGAACCCACTATACAAACTCGCCTACTCGACAATACCGGACTGAGTGATCGTGATTTTCTTGGACGGCTTGCCGCGGAGGGCGAGCCGTAGCCCTCGATCGTCTTGATGAGGTCGTAATTCTCGATGCTTCGCCTGCGGGGTGTTGCTTTCACTCAGTACGTATGTAGTAAAAGAGTGAAGGGAGGAAGGACGCACTGAACACGACGTGCTTTCCCTCGAGGCACGAGGTGACGACGGCGGGGATGAAGAACTGGTGTTGGGGTCCGCGTTGACCATGGAGAGCAGCCCGGGCTTGGTTTGCTTGAGCCTTGAGCTGAAAGTTCTCGTCTTCAAAGAACACGCATCATCAGCACACCGCCAATCCACCCAGAAACGCAAAACAAAGCAAGAGGCACGCACCCTTAAACTTCGCGCCATAGATCGACACGCCGCCCGTCCCATCATGGTTCGTAAAGTCGCCGTCCTGGAGCATAAAGCTCGGGATGACGCGGTGGAACCCCGAGCCCGCGTACATGTGCCCCTTGCTCGACGGCTCCCCGTTCACCTCGAGGCACTGGCAAAGCTTGCGGAGGTTGTCCGCCGTCTTGGGGACGAACGACGTCGTCGTACAGCTTGAATACGATGCGCCTCGCGGGTAACTCACATAAACTATAGGCTGGCCTGTTGGTGGAGAGAGTCGGAGGGAGGATCAATCATGGACGGCCGGCAAGCCCCGAGATCGGAGATGATGGCCGGAAGCTTAAGGGGCTGCGCACGGGCCAGGCAAACTGCTTTCTTCGATTCTCACCGCCTTTCCAGCGTCAGGCAGTTCCACGGTCCTCCACGCCCCTCCTCTGCCTCCGCAGGACATTATCATTCGAAGGAACAGTAATCCCCGACGCCGTACTGTATCCCATGTGGCGCACACCGGTCGCACCGCAAGTTGGACTCTTACTCTTACTTGACAGTATGTTACTACGGCGCAAACCCACAGAATTGCGGCGCCACGATCGATGCCGAATACGTAGGGTATGTTTATGATTACAATTACGGGGTGCCAGCCATGGAAATTCCGCAATTCGACTAACGACACATGCACCATCTTCGTTTCGTGCGCGTCGGCGTCGCTGCCGGCCGACGCTCCAGCACTGCATCGAGAGTCGAGACTATTCGATGAGTCCGTGCAGCTTACAGCCTACGTCGGCGGAATGTCTATCTAATCAATCCATCTGGCATGTCCATCTGGCATCTGGATTCTGGACACATCTATGCACGTCAAGGCTCAGCGCCTCAAGTTGCTGTAACATTCGCAGCCGTAGGGGAGTCTGTCTGCACATGTAATAACCTCCATGTGAGCGGATGACGAACATCGCTTTTGGTGAGTTCGAGACTCCGAACATTATTGCACTGGCGGCAGCAGCAAATTTTATCCTGCCGAAATTCCAAGTCATATTAACCAGCCTCACATGTATGTCCGAGGCCCGGTGGCGGATGGTCCGCACCTGCGACTAGTTGATGTCAATAATGGAAATTCAGCAGGGTACGCTTGTTCAAATCGAGCCCGGGCCACTTTGTAGGTGTTTTTGAGATTTTTTGCCCTTTCTTTCTGTTTCCACTGACAAATCGCTTGAGGCTGAGGAGACTATCACAGCAATGAGATGTATCTGGGTCTAGGATGACGTAGATTATGCCTCTTCGAGGCGGGAGCTTAACCTTTAGGGTATACAAAATAGCTTTCTAATATACTAATATTATTTTACAGGTGGACGTGGGTAAGTGGCTAACAATGGGGGAAAAATTGCCTGAGAGCGTCAGTCAACATTGTATTGCGGAAGTCGGGAGTCTATTGTTCAGCTAATTGCTCAGCAGGCTTTTAGGTGGTTGGTCGAGAAGAGGGATTGAACATTTCAATACGTGGCTGACGACAAACATCACGAAGTACGCGACAGCCCTACTGCAAAGTGAAATATAAAGTTCACTCATCTTGACATTTGTCTAAATTCCCCTTAGAATGAACATTCATAATTTCTTTGACGCATTGTTGGTACTTTCACGAAATTTATGAACAATTTGATCTTTTATGACTCACCGAAACGGACGAACAGATTATTCAAAGGAAGTCTGGAAAACCCCGCATACGCGGTGTGACATTTCACATACGAGGGACCATGAGAGGCACCACAAGTTTGCAAGCAGCTACTGCATCGACACCTCGCGTATGGGGTATCAACGGGGATGCATGAGAGGCCGAAATGTTTGCGCCTATCTCTCCTCGAAAGCTTGGGTGAACAGATGAGGAGCCTTGGGAGACTTGATAGATAAAAACAGTTGAAAGATGAGCCACACCCATTGACGAAACAGTCTGAGAGTTGGCGCT